CTGCCATCTTAAAAATAGCCAGGGGTGTGAATCTTCACAGGTTTCATGATTCAATTCAATTACGATTATCATTATCAACTCAATATCACGATGCGTCACATGCTTAGTTCTCAATATTACTGCTGTAATGTCTGATTACTTTTCTTAGGGAATTAATTATTACTAATTAATTCAGGTTTTGAAAGGACTCGAATCCGAAGATTCGAAGTCAACCTGAGTAGAACTGATTTCAAATTTGATAATTTACACTTTATTAACGGTCATCCAGCGAGACGTTAACCTCAGTAAATTTTAACAATTTGTATATTTGTATTTTCCCTGGCCACGGGTTAATACGTTCTTTGATAAGTTATAAGCTACGAGCTAGGTAACAAGGATCTAGGCAGAGTTTAACTTTAAAATGTCACGACACCAGACAATGATTCTTTATAAATTAAACAAGAATTTATTGGCTATTCTAGATTACATTGACCAAAGCTAAGACATACACACACATACATACATACAGTTCTGAAGAATGATGTTAACGGAGTTCTGAGGAAAGCCCAAAGTTTTAGCAAGATATTCGCTACAGTTATCTTACTTGCAACCTGAGAAAATCACAAAGCAGAGACTTGGCTTATGTTTACTGCTTAAAATTAGCTCTGCACCAGTTCAGCAGGGATAAGATTGTGTTCGTTTACTTGAGTTTTTGGGTGACAGCTGAAAAGCTGAGTTTCCTGGTTTGGCTGCTTGAGGGAATTCCATTGCTGATTGGTTACTGAGATGACGGAGATTGGTTGGTTTCTTGATGACACAGAGGCTTGAGCAGTTCTTTTTGAGATAACTTTTCTCAGAGTTTGCAAAACTTTAAGTTCTTTGAAGATCTCTGACGATCACAAAGTTTCAACTGAAGTGTTTGAGTTTTAGATGACCGATCGCTATGATGGTAAGCGTGTGAGCACAAGTTGGAGTGCTCTTAACATGGTGAAAGGCGAAGAAGCAAGCAAGCACTCGAGTCTGTCTTGCATTGAGGTTTTGATACGCAGCATAAGTCCATCCTACGGCGCGATCTTCCAATCGACTTCTTGCCAGGCGGAGCGTGCATACATTAACATGAGGCTCCAATTTATTATGTGGAGAAAAATCTTGGCGAAGATTTGGTTGATACTTCTATAAAGTTTCCTAATGCGAGTATTGTACATACTTCTCACTTCTCATTCATACCAACGTTTCTCACATAAAATAAGCTTTCATTCAAGCTCAAATAACAGGTATTTTGCATACACAGTAATCGTAATAACTAAAAGGAAAAGTTATAAGCCAAAGATTAAGATCATGGTTTCAATAACACATCAAACAGAAAGCATATTATTTGGGAGTATATTGCTCCGATACTTTAAATGATTTTAAATGATTGTCTTATGAATTGTCTGTGTAAGTTCTGTTTCTTTGTCTGTGACAGGAGAAACACGCGCTTTTCTGGAAAGTAGTAAAAGGATTTCTTTTTTTGGAATGCAGGGGGAAAAGGGGAGGTGTCCTGAGGTCATGCCCATGTCACAAGTGTAGATCTGCCCTCCTTCTGCTGGACATGGAGCTCTTAATCTGTCGCTTTCTGTTTATCGGATTTAGCAATTTACGTGTTAAATGGTCATGGGGTCCAGGAGTTCTTGTGCTGGAACTTTTCCAGATACCAGGTTCTTTGTTCTGTTGTCTCTTAAATCGTTATTTATGCTGAAGCCAGTCACGTTACACTGCACCCCTGATCCTCGGGGTTTCGGACAGGGGGAGTTTCTCCTCCCCTGGTGAGTTAGGGTTTAAGCACTGTTTTTATTTGAGTCTCTTGAGACGATAAGCTAGATGGGGCAGGAACTGCTGAGACACTTCACTGACCCTGCATGAGTTTTACGACCGCAGAGGGCTGCATAGGGTGCTACTCAGTTTGTCTCAATGGAATGTGATTGTTTCATGTGTGACTCAATAGTGTAAGTGGGTCCGTTCGAAGACAGAGATCCTACACTGCACATGGCTACATTTTCATATAAATTTTATATCAAATTTAATTTGTGCAAAATTATTTTTTTTTATTATATAAACAGACTACTTTTTAAAACAGTTATTTATTTAAAATATGTTCTTTAAAGGGATCATATGATGCTATTTTAAAGATCATTATTTTGTGTATTTGGTATAACAGAATATGTTGACATGCTTTAATGTTCAAAAAACATTATTTTTCAAATACTGTACATTATTGTAGGTCCTCTATGCCCCGCCTCTCTCAAACACGTCGTTATCAACAAAGCCCCCTCCTTTGACAAGCGCAGTCTGCTCTGATTGGCCAGCTGACCCAGTGCATTGTGATTGGTCGAACATTTACTTTATGCTCTTGACTCACCCATATGGCTGCTTGGTACTGTATTACGTAAATCTGTTGTTAATAAAGCTGCAGATGGAGCCTCACTCTGCTGACTCATCATTACATTTAGGGTTAGGACAATAATTAAGTGTATACATTTAAACAACTACACAATTCCTTAAAAATAATAATATGCAATTATTTGCATATTAATATGCAATAATAAAAGCAAGTGCTATAAAATAGTATGAGCTGCTAATATATACATACAAAAAAATAATCAACCCTCTACGCACACCTTGGCAATATAAATCGCCATTGGCTAGTCCATTTTTTAGTTTAGCCGCCAGACTGATATCCTATTTTACACACACACATATATATATATATATATATATTATTTCACCAAAACAGCTTATCTTTGTAAAATGGCACAGCTTCTTAAATCTTAGCTTCTTAATCAGTTAATCAAGCATTATATTATGATATTATGACAATTAACCCTTGTGTTGTGTTCAGAACCCTTTCACACTAACGAGGTTACAGAGCAAAAAGGACCCGGCCTCAAAAATTGCTTATAAATCACTCATTATGCTATATTATCACCAAAGATTGGATTCAATCTTTTTGTCAACTTCTTTTCTTTCATTTAGGACTGGTTTTGTATTTATATTTGCATCTGATTAATCGTAGGCCTCATTTATCCGAGAGTAGGCACCTCCTTTTTTTGAGTGAAAAAAGCATTATTTATGAATAATTCTCACAATATTAAATAAAAACTGAAGAAAATTTGCACTGTTTATCACACTAGTGTGATTTAATGTTTAATCAGAGAGTTTGTTTTGAAAGACTTTTATTTTGTACAAAATGGCACAAAGTCACACTTGAGGTATTCCCGGTCAAAAAGGACCCGGCCTCAAAAAATTGCTTATAAATCATTTATTATGCTATATTATCACCAAAGATTGGATTCAATCTTTTTATCAACTTCTTTTCTTTCATTTAGGACTGGTTTTGTATTTATATTTGCTTCTGATTAACCGTAGGCCTCATTTATCTGAGAGTAGGCACCTCCATTTTTTGAGTGAAAAAATTATTTATGAATAATTTTCACAATATTAAATAAAATGTGGAGAAAATGTGTACTGTTTATCACACTAGTGTACTTTGATGTTTAATCAAGGAGTTTGTTTTGAAAGGCTTTTATTTTGTACAAAATGGCACAAAGTCACACTTGTGGTGTTCCCGGTCAAAAATGACTGGCCATTCAGAGTGAATGGGAAAGATCACAAAAAAGGACCTTTATTTTGAAATGCTTTTATTTTCAGTTATGATTAATTATTCATATTTCCCCATGAGCTGATTCGCTACAATAATATAGCATAATGAGTGATTTATAAGCATTTTTTTTGAGGCCGGGTCCTTTTTGATCTGTAACATCACGGGTGTCACAAGGTGAAAAATCTCCCCCAGAAAAGTATGAAAATTATAAAAAAAATTTTAGAAGTAGTTATACCCTTTGTGAACAAAGTCACAAAATTTCAGTCCAATGCGATAACATTAACTAGTATTTTCGGGAAAAATTAAAAATTTTCAGAGCAAAAAGGACCCGAACACCACATGTGTGAACACCATTAAATCTACGTTCCAATGTAATAGAATATATACTGAAAAAGTTATGTACCTTGTGTTTTACATTTTGAGGTAAAAAAAGGATGACCTTTCTAAGGAGATCAAATCAAGAAGCCCAGGTGTCTGAGATAATGACCTTCTGTCTTTATGCTCTTCCTGACCATCTGGCTTTTTAAGCTCAAAGCACAGCTGTACCTTTGTCTCTGTGATAATGCGAAAGTATGGTGATACTGTCAGACTGATTGGATCAGCCCCTATGCATTGGATGACACTGTTATACTGATGAGATCAAGGCTGGGAAAATGCCTGTGTCTGGCTAATTCCTGTACTTCATTTGCATGCTATGGGTTAGATTGTCTCCACCTCTACGGAATGTATCCCGCCCCTTTAAAATGTATATAAACTACAAT